TTTTGGAGTACTCGTCGATACAACCCATCCCCGTCTTGAACGCGCTGCACACCTCGGCAAACAAAACACACAGCTTTAAACTAAAGTCTGTCACATGAGCAACTATTTTGAGGGATATTAACTGAAATTTGAAGATAAAATACTGGTAAAGCATTCGATAGACTCTTCTCATAAGAAAGCTGTACTAGGAACATCTCTCGTTGTAAAGAAATTGTTACAACGCGAAACTTGAAGCCAATGGTTCAAGAGAAGTACCAGAAAAAGACAAACTTCTGATAACAGACGAAAGAATAAGAAACACAACAATATATGAGGCAGAATCCAATAGTCCTTCAGAGAGTGAAGAAATTTCCAGCCATCTGTCGGACCAGAATGCACGTTGTCTTGAGTTAAATGAATCCATTCCAATTCCGCAGAGCCTACTTATATAATATCCATCTTAACATCCTCTCGTTTTCACCGAAATCATTTAATAATCATTACTTTTCAGGTTTTTAAGATCAAAATGTATAAATTTCTCGTCACTAACATGCGTGCCACATGTCCTACCCAGCCTTTTATATCACACGCAAAATTTACTTAAAACCGGACATAAAATATTTATTGCTTCTAAATTGCGTGTGCATTACAATAATGTCGTCTGATTGCTTTCGGATGACAACTAAACGCACAACTGCAGTGTTTTATAAATAATTTAACAAGAATGAAATGCATTTTTAAGTAAGTACATACTTCAATATTTACATCAATGTCACTGGCTTCCACGTAGATTACACGTCTCCGTCTGTGTTTTAATGGGGACAGATGTATCTATTTGGTGGAGTAACTGGTAATGTCCATTATCGATTTGACGGGTCAACATGCAAACTGATTTACCCCATATTAATACAAAGTAAGGACAATACATACGGAATACAGCAGATACATGTTTCATCTGCATTTCTTGGTCCAGTCTGGTTCATTTTTATTTGCAGTGACTTTACGTTCGACCTCATTAAGACACAGTTACAATCAGAGAATATTATATAAGACAAAATATAAATCAACATACTTCTCATAATATGATACAAATTTACAGAGCGTGTTTAATTATTAATTTATTACAACGAAAATACTATCGATGACAACTAAACGCACAACTGCAGTGTTTTATAAATAATTTAACAAGAATGAAATGCATTTTTAAGTAAGTACATACTTCAATATTTACATCAATGTCACTGGCTTCCACGTAGATTACACGTCTCCGTCTGTGTTTTAATGGGGACAGATGTATCTATTTGGTGGAGTAACTGGTAATGTCCATTATCGATTTGACGGGTCAACATGCAAACTGATTTACCCCATATTAATACAAAGTAAGGACAATACATACGGAATACAGCAAATACATGTTTCATCTGCATTTCTTGGTCTAGTCTGGTTCTTTTTTTATTTGCAGTGACTTTACGTTCGACCTCATTAAGACACAGTTACAATCAGAGAATATTATATAAGACAAAATATAAATCAACATACTTCTCATAATATGATACAAATTTACAGAGCGTGTTTAATTATTAATTTATTACAACGAAAATACTATCACATTATTTTAAATCTAATTTAAAGACAGCA